TCTTAATCCTAATCCTTGCCCTAACCCTAACCCAGCCTGAGTCAGTAAATTCAAACTAAATATTTAAATGTCTTTCCATCTCAGAGGACCTGAAAAATGTCCCCACGAGGACCAAGAGTCCCCCCGCCCCACCCCTTGGTAACCAACCATGGACAGCTCTCTTCCTTTCACTCCGTCTGTGTTTCTTGCCTCGGTTTCCCCACTGTGCACTCCACACATTTTACCCTCCACCACCTCCTCCTCCTTCTTCTTCTCCTCCTCCTCATCAACTGTCACCATGTTCACTGACATTTTCACTCACTCATTTTTTTTTAAATAACAGCAGAAGAAAATATAAGAAGTCTGCAGTGAGTGAGTCAGATTTATTTACAGCTCCACGTCATTCAAAATGGCAAAAAAAAAACTCCATAAAACTACAGCAGCAAATACCAAGATAATTTGTTACGATCCACCGAAGCGTCAATTATCTCCTCGATTGATCACTTTGTTGAACATGAATGACGGAGAAGGTCAGAGCGACCGCGTCTCCTCCGACATCACGCACATAGACGAAGATGTTGTTTTGACGAAATGTCACTTACATAACGTTACGTTGTTACCGACAACGTGTTGAAGTGTCACGAAAATCTTTTTCAGCATTTTTTTTTTTCAAACACCTGTTATGTGATCAGGCGTTCCCCGTAACGAATTCCCGAGGCAAAACTAGGCAAATTGCGTTTTTTGATCCGACGAGAAGATGTTGCTTTATGTTTGTAATAGTATGTTTTGTTCATAACGCTTCAGGACACCAGTCTAATCCCTTCAGCAACAGCACTCGTATAATATACAATTAATTAAATTAAAATCCCCCCACCATCTAAAGATCAAAAACACAGATATAAACAAATATATTGAAAAAAAAATTAAGAAAACACTTTATATTATTGTTATAAAAACTGGTAAAACAACTCAAGAGAGGGAGAGTGAGAGACAGCGCCACACAGTGTCGAGTGGAAAAATGGAGCGCGGTTAAGCGCTCGTAACTCGAGGCCTGCATCCCCTCCCTGCAGCA